GGCATGTGTAATGCCTTAATATTTTGGTGCGTTTCCCGCCTTTTTTGGGGGGAAAGAATTATGCCTTTAATTTTCAAACTGTGAGTAGGAAAACAATTAAGAAGACGTAATCCTAATTTTAAACAGCATGTTTTCTCATAGATTTTTTTTGGGGGAAATTAGCATGAATAACACAAAAAAAACTATAACTAAAATTCTAACAAATTAACCACACATGTTTTGCCACACATGCTAATTACTTTTTAATTATAATTTTTTTTTTTGGTTAGTTAGCAAATTGTCCCATTTTGTTTTTAATTAGCGAGTTTTTCTATTTTTAATTGAATTTTTTTTTATTATTGATTAAAGTGTTTATATTTGATTTTTTTCCTTCGATTTAGTTTGAGAACTTTTTGTGATCTCTTCCTATAAACAGGGTATTTTCATAATTTTATGTCATGCTCTTTCAGTCTTTCTTACGCTTTGATTCATTAATAACACGAAAATTATTTCTAGTCTTAGCCAAAAAAAAGAAAAGAAAAGAACTACATACCAAACACTCAAACTAATCCTTAGAATATGTGAAAAAATCAAATAATTTTACTAGTTAAAATGTTTGTAGTGTCTATTAAATAATAATATTCTTACGTAGCTAATAACACTCGATTTTCTCGAATTTTTGAAAACAAAAAATAAACAATTTTGCGATCTAATTTAAAAAAAAAAAAATTGCGATCTATCGATCTTCTGTTTTATCAAAAAAGTTCCAATACTGGTAGTCCTTTGTAATATTATCTTTTGAAATGTAGCTAAACACTCGTTAACATCCAATAAAAATTGGATGAGGGCCAAATGTAACAAATTAATGAAAACTTTTTAAAAGCTTAGGATGTTCACTAGTCACTATTATAAATAGATGAAAAAATTAGTTAAAATATATTTGATTTACAAACATGCATTTAAATACATTAATGGATAATACACAAATATATACAGTTTTTACACAAAGAAAGAAAATAAAACAAACAAGAAGAAGTTTTAAGCTTGAAGAGCAACCTTAAAAATGGAAGTTTTGAGATCATCATATAGATTTCTTTGATAATCCACCAAAACACACAGTTGTCTTATGGCTTCTCTCTTCTCTTCTCCTAAACTCAACAATTCAACATCTCTCTCCTTCACATTAATCTCAAGCTTCTTGATTCTTCTCATTGCCTTTGCTAGACTCAGCTTCCCTGTTCCTTCCTCCGCTAGCTTCGCTTCTAGTTTCGATAACTTCTCCTTTAACAGAGACTCTTGTGCTTCTCTGCATTCCAGCTTTGCTTCAAGTGTTTCCACCTCATGTTTCGTCTTGTCCTTCTTCTCCTGCACCCACTTTCTCGCTGTATCGATCTCTTTCGCTATTTTCGTGACTCGGGTCGTTAGTTCTTTGCCTTCTTCCAACTTCTTTATCGCCATTTCTGGTCCCGAAAGCCCTTCTTCCACCATTTCTTTGATCTTCTTGAATTGGGTTTCAGAAACAGTGAGATCTCCTCTGTTTTCTTTTGTTTCACTACGCGTCTTTATATAGTCGTTCTTGCTCTCTAAGTGTATTTGTTCGGCTACATGGATCCTCCTGTACAGTATCCACATATGATCTTCCATTTTCATCCTAAAATCTTCCGCTAATTCTTCCATTTTCCTCTCGAGAAGATTTGTATTCAGTTTCGAACCAAATGACCAACGTTTCATTACTTTCTGATCCTCGGTAGACTTATCGATAGGTCTTTCTGTTCTTTAAGAAGTTTCTTCTGATCCTTTATCTCCATTGATAGCCTGAAAATCAATTGAACTAAATGGTAACCACAACAAATCGAGAAAGCTTTTAAACAAAAATCTTGTGTTTTCATACCGGTCAATGATATCTTCTTGTTTCTTACTCCTATCTTCAGTTTCATCGATGTTTTTCATCTCTCTCTTCGCAAATTTCTTATGCAGCTTCTGGTTCTCTTCCTTAAGAAGGTCAATCTCGGTAATCTTACTCTTCATCGCCTCGCTCATATCTAGTTGAAGTCTCTGTACTTTATCCCTCAAATCTTCCTTTTCTTTAACAATCTTCAGCTCGGCCTTAGCTCGTTCCTCTGTTTCTTTCTCTAGACGTTTCAACCGCATCACTGTCTCTAAAACTTCATTGGTTTTCTTCTCCAGCTTCAATTCTAACTCCTTTTTCTGGTTACGCAACAATGCAACTTCATCTTTCGTCATCGTCAATTCCTTGAAAGGTTCTTTGTCCTCGTTTCTCTTACCTTCAATATCTCCCGTACGCTCCATGTTTTGATCGCGCAGATAATCCGTTTCTTGTCTCAAATTGCTCACTTTTCTCTTCAAATCTTCATTTGTTAACTCTGTCTCTTGTATCTTTCTAAGCATCACCGCGTAATCCGAGCTCAATCTTTCACTAACATGATCCGCATTGACCTCTATCTCCTCCGAAGAGTAGTAATCCAAATCCGAACTAGATCTCGATGAAGAACCCGATTTTCCTTTCCTTCCACTAATCTCCAAATCATGAAACACAGAGCAAAGCAACTGACACTGCTCGTGAAGATCGTTAACAATACCAACAAGCTCCTTCTTTGTAACCTTTGGGATTTTGTTTTTGTTTTAGATAAAACTTTAAGAGATTAGAAACCTTCTTCTCTACTTCTGCAGATTTAACAACAGAACTAAAACAAAACCTTTACATAAACAAATTTTAACAAATGAACATTTTAAGTAATTCTTACCCGCTTTCGCCTCCTCCATTTGCGACATTTTTGTCGCTTAATCACAGAAAGAGAACGTACCAGCAAAAGCGTAAAGAAGCTCTGAAAGCATTAAAAAAAAAAAAAAAATTCAATTCATTGCATACAAACCAAGTAACAATCTTTAACCATTCACCATGATCCATAATTCAATGCTTTGAGAACAAGAGGTGCTCAGTTCGTATGAACCGTATTAGCCAATCCAAACGGAACCAAAATAAGAAACTGAACCATACAAAAA